ATTGTCGCAGTCCTTCGCAAACTACAGGCTGGGGCTGAGGGAGTGTCTCGAAATATCCCCAGCCCCGGCCTTGGCCCCGGCGAATCTTGAGAAACTCCCTCGCAGCCTACGCGCTGACGCTGAGGGAAATTCTCGACATGACACCGGCCCCGGCCCCGGAAAATCTCGAGAGAGAAACTCCCCCGCAGCCTACAGGCTGCATGGCTGTGAAAGAATTCGTTTTGTCGAAAATGGCCCCGGCCCCAGCCCCGGCCCCAGCAGCGGCGAAGTTCGAGAGACTCCCCCGCAGCCTGCAGACTGGCTGCGAGAAAGTTTCGCGGAATGGCCCCAGCCCCAGCCCTGGCCTTGGCCTCGGCCCTGGCCGCGGCGATTTTTAAATTACCCTGCGACGCACCCAACCCACGCGCATCAAATGGCAAGATGACTATGCCAACATTAGCAGGAACAACGACAGTGTAGACGCGGCGATTTGCTGCGCAAGCTACATGGGATGCGCGCGCGTTGCACGATTCACAGGACGACGATCGAAAGAACGAGGATCGAGGCCGCAGGATCGAAGAAGAACGGGCACGGGAACGAGGGGTAGGAGAGGGATGGAATGGAGGGCGGGGGGGGCGAAAGGCCATCGCGGAAGCAGCAGCATGCATGGAGAATGTGAGGCGGGGAATAGGACGACGATGAAAGTGGCGGGAGGAGACAGAAGACTGCCGCGTTTTTCAAGTGCGAGCTAAACCCGCAGCGCTGCCTGCGCCATGTCGTCGCAGAGTTCCACATGATAAAACTTGTTTAGAGTGCAAGGAACGAGCGAGGCGTAGCTCGCCCGCTAGCTTCTCCGCCTCCTTCCCGCACATTTCAGCGCGGGAGCTGAACGCTCGCAGGCGCGCCGCCAGGTCTGCGGGCGGCCCGCGGGAAAGAAACTCAAGGCCGGGGTCGCGCATCATCAATCGGTTGTCCATCGTCCAAAGTTGCACTGGCGACGTACTGGTTGAACGCGGAGCGAGCAGCATCACGCGCGTGCCTGAACGCCACGCAGGTACAGTGCACGCGCGATTGGGACTTCAGGTCGATCACGCGCGTCTCCACCAGGCTTGGCAACACCACGCGACTGAGGATCTCACTGCGGTCTGCCATGCTGCTGTCCGCGAATGCAATGCGCTGCCTGCAAGTAAGGCGGCGGCGTCCACTTGTCTCAGAAGATGTTCCCGCGGGCCCGAAGGGCGACCGCCAGCTCGAGCCGCGGCGCCGGCAGGCCAGATAAGGATCATGCAACAGCAAAGACGATGACAGAGCAACGAGGTATCGGCGAGTGCATGACAGGCCTCCGTTTCCTGCACTTCTTTCCTGTAGTTCCCCTAGCTCATCGAGCTCAGCAAATGTTTCTGCGGGTCCGAAGGACGACCGCCAGCTCGAGTCGCAGCGCCGACGAGCTGCATGCACATCAGGCAACACCCCAGGAGACACTGGCACACAACGATTTGACGTCAGTCAGTGCCAGACCACTCCATGTCTAGTTCCTCGCACACATACAGTCGATCGCAGATGCGGGAAAATCGAAGTAGAATGACGGGTCCAATCTGCGTCCGCGTAGGACGTCACTATGCTGGACCCCGCAGCAGGTTTCGAAAGTGGCGACAGTTTCGTGGGCCCCACAGCAGCCCTCGAAAGTGGCGACAGTTTCACAGATCGCAGCCCCCCAGGGATGGCGAGGTCTAATCTGACTCCCCGTAGGACGTCACTCCGCTGGCCCCCCAAGCAGCCTTCGAAAGTGGCGACAGTTTCACAGATCGCAGCCCCCCAGGGATGGCGAGGTCTAATCTGTATCCACGTAGGGCGTCACTCCGCTGGGCCCCCCACGCAGCCTTCGAACGTGGCGACAGTTTCACAGATCGCAGCCCCCCAGGGATGGCGAGGTCTAATCTGAATCCCCGTAGGGCGTCACTCCGCTGGGCCCCCCAGCAGCCCTCGAAAGTGGCGACAGTTTCACAGATCGCAGCCCCCCAGGAATGGCGAGGTCTAATCTGAATCCCCGTAGGGCGTCACTCCGCTGGGCCCCCCAGCAGCCCTCGAAAGTGGCGACAGTTTCACAGATCGCAGCCCCCCAGGGATGGCGAGGTCTAATCTGAATCCCCGTAGGGCGTCACTCCGCTGGGCCCCCCAGCAGCCTCGAAAGTGGCGACAGTTTCACAGATCGCAGCCCCCAGGGATGGCGAGGTCTAATCTGAATCCCCGTAGGGCGCCACTCCGCTGGGAGGTGGCGACGCAGATCGCAGCCCCAGGGATGGCGAGGTCTAATCCCCGTAGGGCGTCACTCCGCTGGCCCCCCAGCAGCCCTCGAAAGTGGCGACAGTTTCACAGATCGCAGCCCCCCAGGGATGGCGAGGTCTAATCTGAACCCCAGCAGCCTCGAAAGTGGCGACAGTTTCACAGATCGCAGCCCCCCAGGGATGGCGAGGTCCCCCAGGGCGTCACTCCGCTGGCCCCCCAGCAGCCCTCGAAAGTGGCGACAGTTTCACAGATCGCAGCCCCCCAGGGATGGCGAGGTCTAATCTGAGTCCCCGTAGGGCGTCACTCCGCTGGCCACCCCAGCAGCCCTCGAAAGCGGCGACAGTTTCGCAGATCGCAGCCCCCCAGGGATGGCGAGGTCTAATCTGAGTCCCCGTGGGGCGTCACTCCGCTGGCCACCCCTGCCGCCCTCGAAACTAGCGACAATTTCGCAGATCGCAGCCCCCCAGGGATGGCGGGGTCTAATCTGAGTCCCCGTAGGGCGTCACTCCGCTGGCCACCCCAGCAGCCCTCGAAAGTGGCGACAGTTTCACAGATCGCAGCCCCCCACGGATGGCGAGGTCTAATCTGAGTCCCCGTGGGGCGTCACTCCGCTGGCCACCCCAGCAGCCTTCGAAAGTGGCGACAGTTTCACAGATCGCAGCCCCGCAGAGACGGCGAGGTCTAATCTGAGTCCCCGTGGAAGCGAGACGAAGAGGGGAGAGAGGAGGCGGGAGGAGGAGGAGGAGGTGGAGACCACAGTGCTCTATTCAAAACGAGTACCCAACGCAGGAGGGTTGGGAAAAAAAACCCTCGCAGCCTATATATAGAGCTGGCGCTGAGGGAATTATTCGAAATGGCCGTGGCCCCGGCCCTGGCAGCGGCGAATTTCGGGAAACTCCATCGCAGCCTGCAGGCTGGCTGCGAGGGAGTCGATTGAAATGGCCTGCGCCCGCAGGGCGGGGTCTTCCCCGCAGGCACGCGCCTCCCCCTTCCCCGCGGCGATTTTTGAGAAACTCCCTCTCACCCTACAGGCTGGCTGCGAGGAGTTTCTCGAACTTTGACGGCAGGTTCTCGCGAGGGCGTCTCCTCGCGAGCACCTGCCCGCTTGCTGGGTTTAGCTTGGTCGTATTGAGGGGGTCGAACGGTGGTCGTTCAATCGGGTAGCGCCTGAGCTGTACGTCCGGTGCGCGTTAATAATATGGACACGGTGCATGTTGTCTACCAGTGGGGAACAAGTAGTCCATGTTGGTGTAGGTGTTCGTGCTCTGTTTGTTGTCGCCATGCGTCTCCTGTTCCTTCGTGAGAGTGGCCTCGGAGATATAGGTGCATGCTACAATGTCGCCCAGACTCCTGTCAAGCAGTGGCCTTTGGGTGATTGCGATGTGACGCAGAGTGAATATGTATCCTGTCCAGCGCTTTCACTCGCCAATATTTTTGATACCAGCTTGCGGAGATCTGCGGCTTGGGTCGCATGCCAAGCTCCGACTTCATATTGGCGTAGCTCATGGCTTGTCAGCGTGCAGAACCAATTTTTTATGGCAAGTTTCAGGTATGTCGTTTACGAATGCCTGGTTCTCTTCTGTAAAGGAAACAGGGATTGGAAGTGGTACCAAACGCTGGTTAGTGATACGATGTCACTGCAATTGCCGGGGTTGCAGTCGGCTGTTGGGGTTTGCGTCTCGGCATGGTTGGTCTCGTTAATCTCGGCGCTATCAGTTTTCAGTTCCCGATATATGTGTGCGCTGGTTGGTTGGTGGTAATTATTGTACTGCTGCTGATGTGGTTGATGCGATGTCGGATGGTTGTAACCTTTGTGGCCTATCGGCTGCCATGTGGGACCCGTTCCCTTGGTATAGGTTGATAGCGCGGGTGTTTCCACTGACCTTTGCCTGTGCCTTGGGGTGACTGTGCGAAGCTTGACATTGTCTGGTTCGGTTGTCGAAGCGGCTGCTGTGCGCTGTGGTGCTGCTCGAGAAGATGCGAAGCCGTTTGAAGTTCTTGCTGATTTTGTTGGTCTAGCAGTGAATACTGTGGTTACCCGTAGAATTGCGCGTGCGGATGCACGCTTTTGCCTGCCCCAGCGGTGCCAGGCAGGGCTGGCAGACGTCAACGAATTCATCGCGCTGCTGCTTGCAAAATGCTGGAGACTGGGTGGAGTCGCTTGGCCAAAATGGCCCTGCAAGTTGTGCTCGCGGTGTGGGCGTAGGGTATAGATGTCGAGGCCGCGGTGGCATTTGGGCGTCCATGCCTCCGTGGATGTAATGAGATCGGAGACGCACCTGTGGAGACCTGTGCTCAAGACGTCCTCGATACGGAATGCAAGAGGCATGTAATAGAAAGAGTGGATAACACGTAAGATGGGGCAGGAGGTATGGGTAAACTTAGGTCGGGCATGTCCCCCTACAGGCGGATTTTGGGCGAGCAATGAAAAATAGTCAAAAAAATTCACCCAGGCTATCTTTCAATATTTCTGAAATTTCCTCCTGTAGGGGGACGTGCCCGACGTAAGGGTAAACGTGGGCGGCCGCTGTCCGCTGCAGGCTGCCTGCGGCCAGACCTTGGTGACCTGCTCACCGCTGTCCTCGGGTCCGCGGCTGCCTTGAGCCAAGAGGGCCACGGAGCCTCAGCATCAGCATCAGCATCTTTATCAGCATCAGCATCAGCATCTGCAGCATCATCGGCAGCGTCAGCATCACTACCACCACCGCCATCGTCAGCTCCTCCTCATGCTTCTTCGAGACTCGAGCTGCGGACCTTTTGTCTCCTGGAGGCTGCGGACCTCCCGCCGGTGGAGCAGGCAGTAAGGGCAACAAAACCACGAGGCGAGAGAAAAGGAAGAAGCGACCGAACGCCTCCCCCTCCTCAACATCATAATCAACATCCGAATCAGCATCCTCATCAGCATCATCAGCAAAACCCGCATCATCAATAGCATCAGCATATTCCCCTTCAGCATCTTCATCGGCAGCTTCATCAACCGTGTCACAGTTCGCACATCACCATCAACACCATCGCTATCGTCTGCATAATCCTTCTTACCAGCATTATCATCATGACCATGATCGTCGCCACCCTCGTCGTCATCACAAGCATCATCATTGTCCTCATTATCACCATCACCATCGTCATCATCAGCAGCATCATCATCAGCATCATCATCACCATCATCAGCATCATCATCAGCAGCATCAGCATCAGCATCATCAACATCATCATCATCAGCATGATCTGAATCACCACCACCACCGTCATCATCATAAACCATCCTGATCACCACCACCATCAGTATCAGCATCATCATTATCCTCCTCCTCATCCTCCTCCTCGTCGCCGTCGCCGTCGTCAACATCATCCTCGTCCTCCCATCATCCTCATCCTCATGTTCAAGCTATTCCTCGTCAGCATCATCATCCTCATCATCACCAGCAGCAGAATCCACTTCCTCTGTCTCGTCATCCTCCTCTTCCCATTCCTCCTCCCCATCCCTCCTCCTCCTTCTCATCCTCCTCCTCCGCCTACCCCTCCTCCTCCTCCTCATCATCATCATCCTTGACCTCTCCCCTCTCCTCCAGCCCTGGTCGGTATCACCCACCAGCCAGGTGCGCATCGGGGAAGCATTGCTGATGTTGAATAAACCCCCTTCTCTGGCTACACACCCTTTCTCGTCGTCTTCCTCCTCCGTACCCTCCTCCTCCTCCACCTTAATCTCCACCTGCTCATGCTCCTGATGACTTCCAGTCATGCTGCAAGTGTCCGAATCGTTGATTTGGGTCCAGCTCGGTCCGCAAACCTCCAGTGGGGAAATGAACCCAGCACTGCAGCGATGATGCCTTTGTGTTTATGCCAGCGGTGTGGACGTTTCACCTCAGGCGTTCGTCTCGATCAGCTTTCAATTGCATTCGAGACCCTCGCTAAACCAGCCGCGTAAGGCTGAGGTCAGTCGATACGTCGACTTGTTTACCCATGTAGGTTGGGTCAGCGGCTGTGATTGTTAGAATATGATCCCCCTGACGCTCCTCATGTTACTCCTGTTGCTACCCGTGCCGATGCAACATATCCTGATCCGGCTGCTCCTCACGCAAACCGCAAGTCCTTCTCTCCCTGCTCCAGCCCTGAGGAAACAGGGAAAGAGGGAGGAGGGAGGAGAGAGCTGGAGGGTGAGAGAAGCTAAGAATGTGTTCGCTTGCCACCAGCTCGCGCAAGGCTGCAATTTAGCAGCTCAGGGTCTCCACCGTCACGGAGCTCGTGACCATTGCTATACGTGGATACGGGATGTGGCAGCCTCTGGCATGCCGCACTGAACTAACAGCCAGGGTCCTCACAATCACGTCGCGCGTGATCGCTGCCTGCACGCCCCTCACGCCCCCGAAAACGCGCTGCGCCCTCTGCGCCCTCTGCGCGAGGCGGGGACATATCCGCACGGCAGGTTCACGTCGCGATGACGTCGGCGTTGGTTTCTGACACCTCGAACGATGGTGGATCGTTCCGCCTCCTCCTCCTCCTCGAACGAGGAGGAGCGATGACGTCGGCGTTGGCGTTGGTGGATCGTTCCGCCTCGAACGATCGCGGCTTCCCGGCAGCACAGATCGCCCGACACCTTGCGATTGGCCACTGGCGGCGCTCGACCTCGCACGCCCGCGCTTGAACCGCCGCCGCGCGAAGCTCCCGCACACCCGTAACGCCCATCACGGGGGTGGAAACCGATTGGATGCCCTCTACTGTGGAGCGTCGTGTCGTCCCCTCCCCCTCTTGAGTCCTCTCGAGTCCTCTCGCCGGAGGTCCCCTCCTGAGGCTCTCGGAAAGCTCCGGAGGTGAATAAACGCGTTCCACTACTCGCAAATCCAATACTCGCAAATGGCCTGGATCCGCCGCGGGGGATTCACTGTATATCACATAGGGAGGAAGACGTGTGTTTTCCTGACGTTTGCGAGCAGGCACTTTGCGAGTAGTGGAGCGCGCTCGGCGAAGAGGGGCTCTCGAAGGGTCAGGGGGGTGCCAGGAGCATCCGAAGATCTGATTCTAATGAGGTTCGGCCTGCGAGCCCCGTCCCCAGAACTCAAACGTGGTGTCTGTTCTACAGTGTCGGTGCCCGTTGTGGTCGCGATATCTTCCCTGGGGGCAATTCTGTGGCGGTCCCCAGGCCTGGAAGGGTCGCGGGAGGCTGAGAATTGTGAAACACGGCTGGTCGTAATATTTGCGACATGCGGAGAATCTGGGGTCGAAGGGCCGAAATTGTTCGATATCGGATCCTGGTCCCTCCGCGGGGCCATGCTGATAGGTTTCCACTACGTCTTAGGTTCGGGTGGTCCCGCGACTAGGACACGGCCCTCAAGAGACAGAGCGCAAAGAAGATGAGAAATCTACGGAATTCCATAAACAAACGCACTATTTGGACTGACGTCGTGATGCTTGGTGTTAGTCCATATTGTCGCATGCTTCGTCACGATCCTCTCAACTGGTGTCCAGCCTGCTGCCTCGTCACGCTGTGGTCTGCCAGCTGACGTGCCGATACTCTGGAAACTATCATGATGTGCTTTCCCATTCGATTAAATTATGAATACGAGTAGGAATATGAATAACAGCATTCGTAGTACTAACAATATAATCAACGCGGTTATTATTACCAGCACTGTTATTATTGTTACTACTATCATTCCTAATCCTGGTCTTCTGGTTTCTCCCCCTCTCTCCGTCCCTCCCGCCGTCCTTCCGTTCAATCCTCCTCATCCTCCTCCTCCTACTACTCGTCCGTTGCCTGCTGGCCATACACCTCCACCTTTCCCTCGTCATGCTCGTCCTCGTGACTCTTTCCTTTCCTCATCCTCCTCTGGATATTGTTATGAATATTATTCGTCCTCCTCATGCACCTCATGCTTCTCCTCCTCCTCCTCATGATCGTCGTCGCCATCATCATCATCATCATCATCATCATCATCATCATCATCATCATCATCATCATCATCATCATCATCAGCAGCAGCAGCAGCAGCAGCAGCATCAGCATCATCATCGTCCTCATCTTCCTCCTCCATTCCTTTTACCTATAAATAGCTCCTCTCTGTCGCAAGTCCGAGGATGGTCGGAAGTGCGGGCCGGGCGTTTCACCCGAGACGTTCTTACCATGTGTGATCCTGAAGCTGAGAAATCGGCAACAGTTTCACAGGTGGACGGTGGGCTGCTTCCAAAATGCGGCTCTCGCCTGAGCGCCGCGCACACTCGTTTTACAAAAATCGAAAGAGTTTCAAGGCATGAGGGCGGGCCATTTTCAACAGCCAAGAGGAATCGTTGGCCAAAAAGTCATGCTGACAGCCCGAAGAGGAATTGTTGGGCATGGAAACGCGGTAAATGAGATGCAAGGAGATTCCACCAGGAAATGAAGCCCCAGGAGGAGCGGAAGGGGATGAGGAGCAGCAGCAGTGCAGCAAGGGCCAAGGAAAGGGGGCACACAGGAGGCGATCGAAAGGGAAACCCTCTGTACAGCACGGGCACCAGATTCGGATGTCGACAACTTGCATCTCGTACTCCCCCTCGGCGCTGGTCACCGCGAGATCCTAGCCACCTCGACGATGTAATTCAGAGCGGCCTGGGCTGGATCGTAGATAACGTACTCCGGGACTCGCAGCCTCAGGCGGGCCACAGGGTACCTCCCCCGCTTTCTCCGTCTCCTCCCCTGCCTCCCCGGGGGGGACGTGCAGGGGGGCACTAGCTCAGGGGGAAACATCGACCCAGAATCGGCGATGCTTCGCCGATAGATCTGCGATAGGCCCCCATATCAGATCCGCACCTTCCTGGGCGGGCCGGGGCTATCGGGCCCCCAGCGGCAATGAATGGGCCGATGCATCCCCCATGAGCCTATTCCCCCCTAAAGTTGCCCCGGATCCTTCTCCTACGGCAGATTCGTGTCATGACGATCCCAGCGTTGGATTCTGACACCGCGTGGATACTTGAACCTCACAAGATCAGCGGCACTTCGAACGCCAGATCGCTCCTTATCGGCCGATTCTCGGCCACTGGCAGCGTTCAACCTTGAACGCCCGCGGCGGGGTCGTTGCTGCCTCACACGACACGAACCATCATCATCATCAGCATCATCATCAGCAGCAGCATCGGCATCTGCATCAGCATCAGCATCATCATCATCAACAACAGCATCAGCATCATCATATCATCTCATCATCATAATCATCAACATCACCATCACCATCATCATCATCATCATCATCATCATCATCATCATCAAATGCATCATCATCATCATCATCATCATCATCACTATCACTATCACTATCACTATCACTATCATCATCAGCAGCATCATCATCATCAAATGCATCAGCATCAGCATCATCATCATCATCATCATCATCATCCTCATCACTATCACTATCACTATCACTATCACTATCACTATCACTATCACTATCACTATCACTATCATCATCAGCAGCAGCAGCATCATCATCATCAAATGCATCAGCATCATCAGCATCATCATCCTCATCACTATCACTATCACTATCATTATCATCATCATCAGCAGCATCAGCAGCAGCATCATCATCATCATCATCATCATCATCATCATCATCATCATCACCATCACCATTACCATCACCATCATCATCATCATCATCATCATCATCATCATCATCATCATCATCATCATCATCATCATCATCATCATCATCATCATCATCATCATCCACTACCACCACCGAAGCCGCGTGGGCCTCCAGGAGCGTGAGATTATTCCCCCCCATAATCCCCCCCTCGGGTGTCAAAGGCATAGCTCTGATCCAAGGTACCAACGCGTTGTGACAGTCAACTGTTACTCGAGCGTGCGCCCGCTTCCGTTTTGTATCGGAAGTTACTGCGGGGGGGCCTTGTTCAGACAAACTGCAAGCGAATATGTTCGCTCCCCATCCTATGTAATGCGAACGTGGTTCATTACCATACGTGATAGGACTTCGACAGTTTCAGAGTGTGCTGCCGACAGTGGTAGCGCAACTAAGTGGCTCCAGATCCGCGGCGAACAAGGATCGGAAGGCGCTCGTAGCTGTTTCAGAGTGATGTTCCCTGGCCGCCAGCCTAGCGGCAAGGGTAAAGGTCATGGAGGACGAGCGCCTCCAGATCCCCCTTTTGAGATCAGGCAGATGGAGATGAAGCTGCAGAGGCTGCGAGGACGGCGATGCCATCAGAAGACGACAGCGACCTAGCGGAACCAGAGGAGAGAAGCCAGCGAGATGGACGCTGGAACGAGAGAACCCCACCAATGGACGCTGGACTCGCACGATGCTGTCAAGAAACGAAAGACCTGAAGTACGACACCTGCGGGAACTTCAGAAGGAGGGCGCCGGTGTCTGAGACTACCTCTTCCTGCAGAGCTTGAAGGGAGATGCGTGGGACGCGTGCAAAAGCATCAGTTTCGAGAAAACGGATACCGAGGAAGCCATCGACCAGATGTTCGGTAAGATAGAAGTGCTGTATAGTTACACCCAGGAGGTGGAGCTGGCAGGCAGGTGTGACGCGTTATTCAGAGAGTTCAGTCGACTACCCACGGAGAAGTTAAACGCGTACGTGCTGAGACAAGGACAAGAAATGTCCAAGTTGAGCGGGGCAGGACTTGATCTACCAGATCTCCTGGCGGGCTGGCATCTGATGATGAGAGCTGGGATACCGCAATGGCAGACACGAAACCTCAAAGCACTGTGCAACAGCAAGCTGAGCGTGCAGGTCGTGACAGATGCGCTGAAGACGCTGTTCGGAGGCGACAGTGTGGCGCACAAAAAGAACATCGAGCGCGTGAACAGTACCTACAAGAGCAGGAAGTACGACGAGCATGGGTACTGGGCCGAAGACTGCAACGGCGAGGACGATGACGCGGACTACGGCCAAGAAGAATACGATCCGCACGACGACTACGGAGAGACTGACTACAGAGATGACCCCGAGCGTACGATGACGAAGATGGAATCCCAGAGGAGCTCGAGCACGCCTACGAGGCAACGGAGGAAAAGATCGCCAACAACACAGATGCGAGGGCGAAGATGAGGGAGCTGGCGACGACGAGAGGATTCTGCCCGGCGGTGGCCTTGATCGATGAGCAAAACAGTTTGTGACCGCCAAGAGCGCGTTTCTTTGTTTTTGGCAATAGTGGGCATTATAGGGGGGGGAGGCCGGGGGGGGGGGCATGATGTGACGCCCCCCCCCCCCGCCGGGTGGCTCCGGCACCATAGCCGCGCCCGCGCGCACGACGACGATGAGCGACGAGCGACGAGCGACGACGACGACGACGCGAGCAACATGTAGGTGGCGACCTGCCCCTGAAAGGCCAGCAAGGCGCGAGAGCGCCGGTAAAAGCCTCGTGGGAGCCCGAGCAAAGGAAGGGCGAAAGTCAAAAACGGCGGCAGAACACCACACAGTCGGGGCGCTGACCTAAGGAACCCTAAATAGGAACGAGGCCCGTTTTTGCCATAAGTCAAACCTCGACTTCCCATGGAAAACCTCAGGAACACCTGAGGCTAAGTGTAAAACAATCAAGGAACATCGAGCCCCTCCCCAACGAACAGGGTTCCTTCTTCAGCGCACCGACTGTAATGAAGTGGAAAAGGCGCCCAGAAAGGTGGATGTTCAAATGGAACGCCAAAGACGTCAGGTTCACAGACCAAGGTTCAAGAGACGACGTGACGGCGGAGGTACCGAGGACGCGAAGATGGTGCTCGGGATCCCGACTGGCAACAGCAAAAGCATCGTCCAATCGTTCGAGACGAAGAGATAAATTTGGATACTGAAAAAGAACTGGGGACAGTGGAGCGACGCAGCAAGTCATGGGCTTAGACGAGTGGCAAGCATGGATAAGAAGATCACGTCTCCAGGCTTGGCCAAGGAGATCACGACGGAGAGATGCCACAAACGTTCAGGTTCGGCAATGACGAGACATCGACGGCAAAACAAATGGTGACGTTTCCAGTGTGGGTGCACAAGCCGGAGCGGCGAACATCAGTGTACCTGGTGCCTGGGAAGGTTTCCCTGCTAGTGGCGCGACCCTGCTTGGAGGAGTGGGGACTGGTGATTTACGATTGCAGCAAGAAGGCGATGTGTCTAGATGAGGACCCGCCAGAGTGGACAGATATCGAGGCTGACGAGAAAGGCCATATGATCCTCGACCTGACCTTCTGGATTTCCCCGATAAGACCATGGCGGCGAACGACGACTCAAGCTCTACAAATGCGCAG